CAGCCTATTGGGACCACTCTTGTATACGCAGCCCATCATTGATAGACATTCTAAGATGAATTTATTATGTTGCTCTATCAAATTAATTGACATACTTAATTTCTTTGATGTTCATCTTATTGTTTCAGCAAATCTACTGTTAATTTTCTGCTTTTCCTTTTTGGTTTTTTGGGTCACACCAAGTGTTGCTCAGGAATTACTCCTGGCTGGTGCTCAGGGGACCATATGGGATGCCAGGGACTGAACCCGGGTTGGCCACGTGCAGGCAAGTGCCTTGCCCGCTGTACTGTCACTCCAGTCCCCTGCCTTTATTTCTTGAATTTTTTTTCCTTCCCTATTTCTTTCTCCTTCTTTTGGAGCTTTCACTGTGCATACATTGTACTTAATGGTTTCTAATGGTTTCCAACAATTGCTTCATTTTGATTCTTCTGCATATCTACTGTGAGCACTTAGAATATTTATTTTTTTGTGTTACATTTTTCAACTCTTTCCATTTGATTCTTTTCCCCCCTAACTTCTATCTCTTGAGATAGTCTATCTGATATGACGTTGTCTTATTTTTTTTTTCATTTTTTATAATTTTATTTATTGACTCACCGTGAGAGCAGTTACAAAGCTTTCGGGTCTAAGTCTCGGTCATACAATGAAACACCCGTACCTTCACCAGTGCCCATTCTTCACCCCCAACAACTCCAGTATACCCCCATCCCACACCCTCCCCCTCCCTGTGGGGCAGATGATTTTCACATTACTCTTTCTCTACTTTGATTATATTCAGTATTTTGACACCAGACCCACCATTATTATTTGAGATTTTACCCCACAACACTCAGATCTGCCGAAGAGGCAACAGTAGACAATTTGTTTTCTATTGTTGGTTATGAATAACATATGATGTTGCATGGCTGCAGTAGTGGCCGTGCGATTTTGAAATTCCAAAATTTTAACATTTAAATCTGGAGGAATTTCTGCCAAAACCTGCTGGGTTTCGAGATTTGTTTCTGAGTCTCTGGGATCAAGGCCATTAAGCAGCTTGATCAGGAGCCAGAAAGGCCGTTTGTGGGCAATGACATGGGGTCTCATTGGGGTGGGGAGGACAGGCCCAGCTCCACCCCCATCCCGTGATGCCCAACAAGTTTCGTCACTGCGGGCCCAAGCCTGACTGTCCAGTGACCTTTGGAGGATGACGGCCACCGAGCCATCAAGGGGGAGCAGGCGGAGTGACAACACCCTTTTCTCCCTGGGGTGGCCTGGTGACAGTAAGGTACTGTAGGGTCCGGACATATTTCTGCCAAAAGCCACTGGGTTTCAAGATTTGTTTCTGAGTCTCTGGGATCATGACCGTTAAGCAGCTTGATCAGGAGCCAGAGAAGCTGTTTGTGGGCAATGACTTGGGGTCTCGTTGGGGTGGGGAAGATAGGACTGGCTCCACCCCCATCCCGTGAGGCTCTGCGTGTCTCATCACTGGGGGCCCAAACCTGACTGTCCAGTGGCCTCTGAAGGATGGTGGCCACTGGGCCGCCAGGGGGAACAGGCCAAGGCACGAAACCTATTCCCACCTGGGTTGGCCCAGCACCTGTAACTTACTGCAGGGACCGGACGCATTTCTGCCAAAAGCCGCTGTGTTTCAAGATTTGTTTCTGAGTCTCTGGGATCATGGCTGTTAAGCAGTTCAATCAGGAACCAGAGAGGCCTTGCTTCCAATTATATAGCTGAGCCGGAGGTGGTTTGTGGGTGTGTCTCCCACATACCTAACTTTTGGCCGTTTACTTTCTTGGTAAACTTTGCCTCAAGTTTTTGGGGTATGGCCAAAGGCACAGCAGCAATTTTGGGGTATCTGGAAGTCTGAAGGCACCATCAGGCTGCTGATGCACTCGCCTCACAAGTAGATTGACCTGCTGGCAGCACCATACCCCCGCGTTGTCTTATTTTTATGAGTTTCTTTTTTGGTGAAGTAAAATAGGGTTTGATGTTTTGGGGGGGGGGGTGGGGCCACACCTGGTGATTTTTAGGGCTATTCCTGGCTCTGTGTTCAGAAAATACTCCTGGAGGTGCTTGGGGCACCGTATCAGATGCCAGAGATTGAACCCAGGTTGGCTGCATGCAAGGCAAGTGCTCTACCTATTGTACTATCTCTCCAGCCCCAGCAAAATAGATTTTTTTCTCTTTTTTTCTTGGCTACATCCAGTGATGCTCAGGGGTTTCTCCTGACTCTGCACTCAAGAATTACTCCGGGTGGTGCTCGGGGGACCATATGGGAAGTGGGTTGGCCGTGTGCAAGGCTAGTGCCCACCCCACTACACTATATCTCAGGCCCTGTCAGCAAAATAGTTTTTATTGAAAGAAATTTAGAGATACATGAGTGGTTTGGGGGTGGGAGGAGATACATGTTCAAAAGATACATGGGTCTGGAAGATACAGCAGAGGAGAGAAAGGGAGATCTGTGTTAACACGGATTTGAAAAAGCAAGCATGCCTTTTTGTGCTTTTCTTTACTGTATTTGTAATGACTACTTAAAAACCTTTCTCTGATAAATTGTCGTCTTCTTGGAACTTCTCAGACTGGCCATACCAGCAGTCAGCTGCTATTTACAATATAGTTATTGTAGCTGATTAGGTTTGTAGTGATATCTCTTTGTGAGTTTAATTGCATTTTCCTGATGACTAATGTTGATGATCTTTCTTATGTCATTATTTTTCATCTGTGTATGTTTTTTGAAATAACTGCTTATGTCATTTGTTTTCTAGTTGGAATGTTAATTTTTCATACTGTTAAGAGTCTGAGAGTTCTTGCACAATTTAGATAGTAGTCTTTTTCTTTAGGCATGTGATTTATAAAATATTTTCTTTTAGAGGCTAGAGCGATAGCACAGCAGGTAGGGCGTTTGCCTTGTACACAGCAAACCCGGGTTTGATTCCAGCATACCATATGGTCCCCCAAGCACCACCAGGAGTAATTCCTGAGTGCATGAACCAGGAGTAACCCCTGTGCATCGACGGGTGTGACTGAAAAAGCAAACAAAAAAAAAAGAATTTCTTTCAGTCCGAGACTATCTGGTCAGAGAGAGAGTGCAGGGGGTAAGTCAAACGACTGGCCAAATGACTGACCTTGATTCACCACACCTGGTGAAGGCTAGGGGGTTATTCCTGGCTCTGTGTTCAGAAAATACTCCTGGTGGTACTTGGGGGACCATATCAGATGCCAGAGATTGAACCCAGGTTGGCTGCATGCAAGGCAAGTGCTTTACCTATTGTACTATTTCTCCAGCCCAGCAAAATAGTTTTTCTTTTTTTCTTGGCTACATCCAGCAATGCTCAGGAGTTTCTTCTGATTCTGCACTCACGACTGACCTTTGAAAAACCAAGCCGTTTTCAAGGGCTGGAGCAATAGCACAGCGGGTATGTTGTTTGCCATGCACGTGGCTGACCCGGGTTTGATTCCCAGCATCCTGTATGGTCCCCTGAGCACCGCCAGGAGTGATTCCTGAGTGCATAAGCCAGGAGTAACCCCTGTGCATTGCCAGGTGTGACCCAAAAAGATAACAAAACAAAACAAAGTACTTTTCAATTTATTTCACTTACATTTCTTGGAGAGGGAATTATATATATATATATAAAACCAATAAATATTTAATGCTTTAAGCTTACAATTACCATATAGGTAAGCACTTGGAAATCATTCTAATTAAATGCAAAAAGCATGAAAAGTTTTTTTTTTTACAATTTAGAATATCAAAGTGATATTTTTCTAATACTTATTTACAAGTTAATTATTCTTTAACCAAAAACTCAAAGCTGGGATAATGCTCATAATTATCTTTATGATTAATGAAATTAACCTGACATGTCAGATATTAAATAATTTGATGTAAAATATTATCAATAATATTATAAAAGTTGTTCTGTTTTATAGAAAGCACCTTGGTAAATTTTGATTCCTTTATCTTTGAAGTAGGAATAAACATACTCTTAAATTTTTAAAAATTTTTTTTAAACTTTTAAATTTAATTTTAATGTAGGAGTATTGCCTATTTACTCAGCCATTGATTAGGCTGATTGAATTGGGCATGAACTCCACTTGATTAAAATTTTTTTAAAAGTAAGTTTTAATTGAGCTTTGTTTGAGAAAGTTTTGTCAGACTCTTTAATAATGCATAAACCACAGCTGTTTCTTTCAGTGGGTAAGTATGTTTCTCGGTTGGAAAAGTATTATATGTGGGGCTGGAGCGATAGCACAGCGGGTAGGGCATTTGCCTTGCACGCGGCCAATCCAGGGTTTGATTCCCAGCATCCCATATGGTCCTCTGAGCACCGCCAGAAGTAATGACTGAGTGCAGAGCCAGGAGTTACCCCTGTGCATTGTTGGGTACGAGCCCCCCCTCCCCCCCAAAAATAGATATTATGTGCTGTATAGTTAAAAAAAGAATGGAAGGTCTCAAGAAGTTAGTCTTCTCATTCCAGACCCTAGACCACAGCTATGTTCTTCATATATTTCTGGACTGAGAACGCAGTGTGGGATATTTTTCAATAATTCTTTCAGTACGTGATTGTATGTCAGATATTACTGTTGAATATTATTTACATTAATATATTTTTCTTTATAAGGTATTATGTATTTTTATGACAACTTTATAATAGGAGGTGGATGTATGCATGTTGCTTTATACCCTGTTTTATTTATTAGGATTAGATTTTGATACCTTTTAATCAGCATATCAGGGCCTGAGAGATAGTACAGCTGGTAGGGCATTTACTTGCACATGGCTGACTTGGGTTCAGTCCCTGGTATCCCATATGGTCTGTCACCCAAGCACTGTCAGGAGTGATTCCTGAGCAGAGTCAGGAATCACTCCTGAGCATTGCCAGATGTGGCTCAAAGAAGAATAGTAATCCGCGAACAAAAGGTTTAGTACATCATTTCTTTATTATTATTAATTCTGTAATTTGAGTTTATAATTATGTGTTCATTTAATTCATTTATTCAAAACTCTTCTCCCGTAGGATCAAGTTCTAGAAGTCCGTCTTCCCCAAAAGAAGGGACAGAAAGACCTCTTTGTAAAAAAGTCTTGGATATCCCATGAACGAGACAGCAGAAAACCGGCTGGGGTGCAGCAGGACTCCAGAGCCAGATATAAGGCTCAGAAAAGGGCACCAACTCGATGGGACAAGGAGAGGTGATGATGACAGTCCTCAGGGAGATTTGGAGCCCAGCTTAGAGCCATCTGTTCCGCGTTCCCGTCATCAAACAGTGAGTGAAGCGGAAGGGTGGTAGCTGAAGCAAAATCTACCAGAGTGTGTCAGAGGGAGGATATTAAAAACTGTATGTGGACGTTGTTGGAGTAGGGCGATGGGGTTTTGAAAGGAACCTGGAGCAGACGTATGAATTATTTTGTTCAAGGCAACTTGATGTTTCTTATTCTTAAATTAGTTAGATTTTATTTGCTTTCATAGTTGTTTTTTGCTGCTGGCACCTAAAATCATACATAATCTGCATTGTCTTGTTTGCAAAAGGAAAAGGATTTTTGTAGTTACCACATAACCTTTATATTTGAGAGTGCTTTACTCTTGACATTTTCATTTATGTTTTTGGAAAAATTCTGATTGCATGCTGTTCTACAGATGGGGCTTATCTCCAGTGGATGCCTGAGAAGCAAGGCAGATTCTAATCTTCTCTTGTACTTCCTAGAGAAAAGAGCAGCTTTTAAATTATTCATGTTATCCGTACCTAGAGGGGAAAGTAAAATATCTGTAAACAATATCAGAAAGGTACTGTTAACAGTGTTTTTCTGTATGCTTTTGGAATCTTGGAATTACATAGCATGAATTTAATGTACTAGTTTTTTTCAAGCTATAGACTGTGCCCATTGGTGGTTTGTGAAATTAATTTTGGTATACTCAAGTATTGTCTGAAAAACCAGTAAAATGAAATGAAAATATTAAAGTATATGTAGTGTTGCACATTTGCTGTTATTTGATGGAAACTTTTTGTCTTCTATACATGTATATGCATAATATATGAAATACATTTCAATTAAAGTTTTTTGGGGGTGTTGGGTCACACCCAGCTATGCTCAAGGCTTATTCCTATCTCTGCACTCAGGAATCACTCCTGGCGTTACTCAAGGGACCATATGGGATGCCAGTATCAAACCTGGGTTGACTTGGGTGTGTGCAAGGCAAACACCCAACTCTTGGTACTAACACTCTGGCCCCACGTAAAACTCTTAAATACATAACTGAATCAGGTAATTACAGGCATAATATGTGCTAAGAGCTAAAAGCATGCAGTATCCAAAGGTCATTCTTTAAATTTTTTGGTTTTTAGTGGGGCTTTTTTTTTTTAAGAGCATTTACAGGGTTGCAGCAAAATTGAGGGGAAAGTATAGCGATTCTCCATGGTTCTCTGCTACTGTTCATGCATTATCAACGTCCCCTAGCAGAGTGTACCTTTGCTGTAATCGCTGAACCTGAATGAACACATACTCATCTAAAGTTGATAGTGTACATTACAGTTCAGTCTTGATGTTGTACATTTTATGGGTGTGGAAAATGTATAATGACATAACCACCATTATGGTATTAATAGAGTCGTTTTACTGCCCTAAAAATCCTCTGTTCTTTGCTTCTTTCTTTCTTCTGCTCTTTTCCGTGCTTTTGCACCCCCCTGGACCTCCTCCCCCCATGTTAATAATTTAGATATGGAGCCAAAGTAAGGCCTCTTAAAAGAGAGCATGTTTGAGGTGAAAGGCATGAATGATAAGAAACCTGCAGTGCGAGGACCTGGGGAAAAGCATTTCCAGGTAGAGGGAACAAAGCTGGTCAGAGACCCAGGGGTGAGAGTAAGTACTGCCATTCCTTCCTGTCTTCCTCCTCGTGCCCCCCCCCCCCCCATTTTAAAGAACTGAATGAAGGCTAGGGAAGAATCTCGAGGAAAGGGGCACGCGACAGACTCTGGTTTGACCCCTCGCACAGATGCCCAGCCCTCCTCACTCCTCTAAATAACACCCGAAATAAAGGGGACGAGTTAAGATGAGGTCACAGGATTCAGCAGGGACCAGATCATATAGGTGTGTAGGAGCATAGGTTTCAGTTTAATCAAGCCCACCGAAAAGTGTATACCCGTTAATGTGTTTCAACAGAAAGAAGAGGTTATTGATTTCTAAGTTATCACTCTGGATGTGGAAAATGGGTTGTAAGATATGGAATGGGAAGCATAGGAACCTTGTAGAATGTTCTTGGTAAATGATAAGTGTTGGCTTAAAGGGCAGTTGTAGCAAAGCTGAATGGATTCTGAGTATATTTTTGTCAGTGCATCAGAATTTCATGGTTAGATGTGGAGTGCATGAAAAAATGAAGACTGGGTGGTTGCTGGATATTTAAATGGAGCTAAACTGAGATTGGTTAGGCGAGAGGGTCCCCATGCAGGTTTTCTGCTTCAGAATAGAGACAGTTTTTTTGTTGTTGGTGGTGAATCAAACCAGGGATCTAACCTAGGACCTCACGTTCAAGGCAAATACTCTACCACTGAACCACTTCCCTGACCTGAGATTTGGAACTCACAAGTCATCTTAGAAGAGATGTTGAGTAGACATAAATATATCTCTGTATGATTATTATGTAATGATTTTTACTATATTTAAAACTATGTGCTTACTTATTGACTAAGAAATTTGAAAGCTTGAAGGAATCATAGGCTAGCCAATTTGAGATTTAAAAATGCCACTTGTTCTGTTTATAATATCAGCAATCATAATTTAGCTAGAGATAATAAAACACATCTTAGAGTTTAAGATTTGCTCACTCAGCACTTTTTATGCCAGATTCACATTATTTGCTTCTTACTACACTGTATTTTTGTTAACCATTTTTAGTTCATAATGCTAATCTTTATTTTTTAATTAAAATTTTTTTTTAATGACTATAGTGAGATAGTTACAAAGCTTTCACGATTGAGTTTCAGTCATACAATGACCAAACACCCATCCCCCCACCAGTGTACGTTTTCTACCACTAATGTCCCTGGTATCCCTCCCACCACCCCCATCCCACCTCACCCCACCCCTTGCCTTTATGGCAATTTCCTTCTTACTCTCTCTACTTTTGGGCATTATGGTTTGCAGTACAGATACAGAGAGGCCATCCTGTTTGGTCCTTTATCTACTTTCAGCACACATCTCCCGTTCTGAGCGATCCCTTCAACCATCTCTGACTCAGTGACCCCTTCTCTATCCTGGCTGCCTTCTCCCCCAGCTCATGAGGCAGGCTTCCAACTGTGGAGCAATCTTCCTGGCCCTTGTCTTTATAAAAATACAAGGTGATATTTGTATTTTTAATGTCAAGTAATCAAGTAATTGTCATTTGTTTCATTCATCTACTATATTACCCTGAAAACCTTTTTTTGACTTTTCTTTAATTTTAGAGCTATCCCCAAAGTTAAGAGCCATATCAAAAGACCCTTCCTTTCTTCCCATCTGCTCTGGTGGATTTTGTCTGAGGAATGATTGTGGGATTGTTAGTGTGGAAAAGACTTTGAAATTTTATTACCTTCCTCAATCTACCCACGAGGCAATTGTGGTACTTTTGTAGGAACAAAATGAAAATTTGTCCTATGTGCATAGTTTCACTTCAGAGAAGTTAAAGGTAGAAAAAGCAAACGTAGTTTATGACAAAAACAGTGTATTTGTATGTTTGAACTGCGTGGGAGGTGGTTTCAACAGAAAACTTAATTTCAGTAATAACATTCTACTGCTTGGTACTTCTTAGCCATTGCTTTCTAGTCTTTTCCCTCTCTTCTGCATGTAATCCATTGACGTACTCTCCTTTGTTGTTAACTTTGGAGTAGCATAATCATGTGAGCTAGTCAAGACTGTCACTGTCCTCCCGTTGTTCATCGATTTGCTCGAGCGGGCCCAGTAACGCCTCCATTTTTGAGACTTGTTGTGCCTGTGTTTGGCATACCGAATACGTCACGGGGAGCTTGCCAGGCTTTGCCGTGCCGGCGAGATACTCTCGGTAGCTTGCCGGGCTCTCCGAGAGGGGCGGAGGAATTGAACTCGGGTTGGTCGTCCTGTCGGCCACATGCAAGGCAAATGTGCTGCTCGCTGTGCTATCGCTCCAGCCCAAGCTAGTAAAGAAAGGGATATTTTAGAAACTGAGAAGTTTTTTTGTTTTTTAATTTAGTTTAATTTAATTTGCTTTTTGGGTCACACCCCCAGATGCTCAGGAGTTACACCTGTCCCTGCACTCAGGAATTACTCTTGGCGGTGTTTGGGGAATCATGTAAGATGCTGGGGATCAAACTGAAGAATGAATTTAAAGACAGAGTAACTTCCTATCTCAAGTGATCTGAAGTTTTCTGTATACTGAACTTTTGCTTTTTTAAAAAGAAAGAACTAATTCCTTGAGTGTGTGTAGGGTGAGGGCACATCCAGCTGTGCTCAGGGCTTGTTCCTGGCTCAGGGAATGTTCTGGGCAGGACATGGTGGACCTTATCCCAGCGTCCGGGATTGAGCCCAGATTGGTTGCCTGTAGGCAAGTGTCCTTCCTTTGCTGTACTATCTCTCTGGCCAGAAGTTTTTAGGTTTGAGGTATGTAAATCATTCGCGGGTGGAATGTATTCTTTTATTTATTTGTTTCTTTATTTTTGGGCATTTTTGGATCACACCCAGTGATGCTCAGGGGTTACTCCTGGCTCTGCACTCAGGAATCACTCCTGGCCGTGCTTGGCGGGGCTATATGGGATGCTGGGGATTGAACCCGGGTCGACTGTGTGCAAGGCAAACGCCCTACCTGCTGTACTATCACTCTGGCCCCTTAGAATGTATTCTTTTAAAGAATTCTAGTAATGCTTTGGATTTTGTATGTGGCACTTTTATAGACATTATCTCATTTGCTTCTCAAAACTGCATTTTGAAACAGTAAGAACAGATGACCTCTGTTTGAAAGTGGATCAAGATTTAGAAAGCTTAGCGTGTCCCCTGGCTAAATGAGAGCATGCGCTGCTGGTCTTCTGACTGCACTGTCTGTGGGACAAAGCTACGTCTGTGGTGAGAATTGGCATCGGATTGACACAAGTTCCAAACCTTGTGCCAGAATATTGATGTTGAACTCAGAGATTGAACAGTCGGTACTGTTTGTGTGTGGTGTGTGTGCTTTGGAGTTAGAATTGTTGTGTGCCTCATTTTCTCTTAGCCTCATATGCATGTATTTTAACCTTTCAGTGGCCTTTGTTTATTTTCTTTTGGGGGC